GGTTGCAGATGCCGCAGCCGTGACCCTTCCCCTTGTGCACCTCCCCAGCAGCCTCCTCAGAACCCCGGGCCTCTGGTGTGAGGAGGTAGGGGGCTCCGCTGGGCAGGCCAGACGAGATAGCAGCAGCTGGCACATGTTAGAGCGTGAAGACCCCACCCCACCTGCCACCTACCCGTGTGGATGAGTTTGTGGCGCTCCAGGTTCCCAATGCTGTTGAAGATCCGCCCGCAGATCTCACAGGGGTGGATGTACCTGCAACCAGACTAGCCTCAGCACTGCAGCGGCCACAGCTCTACCCCAGCACCTCTACCCAGCCATGGCGGGAGGGAAGGCTCCATGGGGACAACAGGAGCAGCACAGGTCTTACTTAGCCTGCTACCGGCTGGATTGTGACCTGCCCGTCACTGCACCAAGGCCTAACCCACAGCACTGCAGGACGGGGCTGTGTGTGGAGATGGGGTCTTTGCAGAGGTAATGAATTTGAATGAGGTCTGCAGCCGGGCCCCAACCCAGTCAGACTGGGGTCCTTGTAAGAAGAGAGGATGGGGACACAGCCAACACAGAGGGACCCAGTGAGGACACGAGGAGAAGTCACTGCCTGCAAGCCAAGGAGAGGCTGCCAAGGAGCCTGCTGACACCAGGATTAGGGGCTTCAGGCCTCTGAGCTTTGAGAAGATAAACATCTGCTGTTTAAGTCGTCCCTTCCATACTGCCTGGACAGCCCTGGGTCCCATCCAGCCTGCAGAGGCTGTATGGTCACTACAGGCTGGATAGCAGGTGTGGCCCAGCATTAATGAGGGCCCATTACTGGGAGAAGAAAGGGCTTCTGGTCGTCTATGGGCAGGAGAACCTGCCAGCTTCCTGTCACCGGCCCCCTGGTGCTGTGAGTCCAGGCTGAGAATGGGGACACAGGAAGCTCAGGACAATAGCACCAGAGCCTCCTGCAGCCCAACCCAGGCCCAGGGCACAGACTTGCTGGGGCTGCTGATGGTGCTGTGTCCCTGCAGGGAAGCACATGCCCTCCCTCCTACAGAGTGCCCGGCTCACTTCTGCACATTGGGGTCCGGCAGGTTCTCCCGGTGGATGACCATGTGGGCGTGGTAGGTGGCCTTGAGCGCGAAACGCCGGTTGCAAATGCTGCAGCCATGGCCCTTCTCCTTGTGCACCTCCATGATGTGCTTCAGGTACTCCTTCCCCCGGCCGAAGGTCAGCTGCACCACAGGGACAGCTGGTCACGGGCCTCTTAGCTAGTCACACTGAGGCCCTAGACGTGCTGGGAGAAAAGGACTCAGGATGCCCTGGTGGGGAGTGGGGAGCCTCATGCATGAGACGGTCTCCTCTGAACAAAGTAGCTCCCTACCTGTAAGTCCATTCCCTACACAGGGGCCTCATGAGGGCAGGAGAGGGACAGGCAGAGGAACCTGGGCTACAGACAGCTCAGCTGACCCTCCAGGGCACTGACGCCGTCCTGGCCTGTGCATTGCATGTGTGAACACATACAGGCCAAAAGGCAGGCTCTCAGGGATGGGGCACGGGGGCCTGTGAGACTGGAGTTGACGCAGGATGGCCTTCCCGGACACCTTGCCTGCGCTCAGCCCACCAGGTCCCTGCCTGGAGGTGAGCTCTTCAGACTGCACAGAGGTGCTGTGTGGGTCCCACAGCCCGGTGCTTTCGCGCAGCATTGGAGGGCAGGCAGGCACACACCTGGCACCTTTTGCAGCTGTACTTGTGAGGCTCCGCGTCTGCGCTCGCGTCAGAGTTGTCATCATTCTCCTCTGAGGAGATCCCGATCTTACCAATGAATTCTTCCCTCTGGTGGTCGTCCATCAGCGCAATGTCCTGGAACAGGGATGGGTCCCAATTTTTGAACACGTGGCAGCAGCCTTGTTATTTATACCACGAGGGTGTTAATGCACCAAAATGGAGCAGAAAGCTCCTGACACACGGAAGCCCTAATGAGCTCGTCCCCTATTGGACAGGTGTGGCCTCTGCTCCTGGGCTCGCCCCCCCATACTGCACTCGCCGTCCACTTTCACGCCCAGCAAGACGTTGGCACTGACTGGGATGTGGGTGGCTGGGCAGTGTCTCAGGTCTGGACTCCCCCTTGGCACCAGCGTCACCTCCTCTGCTCCTCGCAGGCAGCCCTTCTCCTGCGCTCTGCTGCGCCCCTTGTCTACATGTTCCCTGAGCCTCATTCAGCTGCCTGCTATTCTCTGAGGCAGGAGGGACGCAAATGCCACCACCCGGCTCCTGGGGCTTCCCCCGGGTGCACCCAGAGTGCAGGAATTCTCTTCCAGCCAGGCCACAGGAGATGAAGCCAGGGTCACCAGGGAGCTCAGTCTGAAGACAATGAACATGGCCAAGCTGTCACCTACTTCAGGGTGCTGCTGGGGCCTGAATGTCTGTGTTCCCCCCAAAGTTCGTATGCTGAAACCCACCCCTGAGGTAACAGTGTCAGGATAGGGGCCTCTGGGAGGTGATTAGGCCGTAGGGCGGAGCTCTTCTGAGTGGGATCTGCACTCATAAAAGGGACCCCAGAGGGACCCTCACTCCATCCCCCACATGAGGACCCAGCAAGAAAGCACTGCCTATGAACAGGAAGTGGCCTTCATCTTGGACTTCCAAGCCCAGAACTGTGAGAAGCAAACGCCCACTGTTTCTAAGGCCCCCACCCAGGGCACTGCTACAGCAGCCCGAGTCGGACAGATGCTGGCCAGGGACCTGCCACGCCCTGTGCTGGGAAGGCGGATGTGACCAGCACCTTGAAGTGGACGTGGATGTGGTCCCTGAGCACGTCCACGCGGAAGAACTTGCGCCCGCAGATCTCACAGGTGTACTTCTTGTCGCCGTGGGTCAGCAGATGCTTGTTCATGTTGCTCCTGCACGAGAACACCTGTGGGCGGGAAAGCCACAGGGTCGGGGAGCCCGGCACCGTCGACACGCACACGCACGCAGTACATTTGTTCCCCACACTCTTAAGTTCCAACGACTCCTTAGGGTGTGGGAAATACAATCCTTGATGTAGCACAAGACTATTTGTGAGACACTTAGGCGCTTAGTTACACTATGGAATTAACCACTTTCTACTCTCCATTATAAGTGGTAGCTCGCTCAGCTTTTTTAGGTCAGTTAAACATTTTACTAGGACAGAGTCTGCAAAGAAGCCAGTAAATCACAGAAACACCTGAGACTTTCTGAGATTAAAGGCAGTGACATCTTCCACTTGTGCACAGGGTCTCCTGCACAGAATCAGAACGTTCTGATTAAGGCCTCCAACTTCCTGGTATTTCCTGCCTAGAGTGGGGCATGTACAGACTCCCCCTTTCACCCAACACCTGTCTAAGGGTCACCTCTGTGGCTACCACCAGGACTGGGCTTGCTATTGGCCTACAAGACAGATGTGGTCCCTGCGCTCAAAACCAAGAGCAGACCGAGGCCCAGGCCCCGCCTCCCACAGACACCTGCAGGCTCCCAGCGACCCGGCAGCCTGGAGTGCAGGTCTCCCAAAGCTTGCCTGACACGCACATTCTCAGGAAAAGAAAACAGAGGTGAATAAAAGGGAATGAGAGATTCGGAAGAGACAGGAAGCTAATGTTCCCATGGGACACCCCTTTCCAAGAGGTGCAGGGGATTCTCTGGGGCCCTAAGTAGGAGGCAGCTACCTCCTTCATCGGGAAGCCTGAACTGAAGATGAAATGGTTGGAAACAGTGAAGAATTCAGCTACCAAAATATACACACTATTCCATTACCTGCCGACCCTGGCTGAGAATTCAACCAACACTGAGCAGAATAGGGCATCTGAGAGCCAGGTACAGAGCTGGGGGTTTCACACATCTGCTCTCCCGGCAGTGTGGAGATGTGCAGGCCTAGCACCCCCCAGGGACCAGAGACAGCCGACAGGGGACACAGGCTTCATCCACCCTCCGCCCTGTGTAACTCCAGGCCTGGCCATCTCAGCTCATCCCCATGCTCCCGAGCCCACAGCCTGGGGTTAGGGCCACACTGCCATGCTGACCTCTTTGCTTTGGCTTGCTCTGTGGTTTGGAAAAAGTCAGAAAGTTTCATATAAAAACACGTATCTCCGTTTTCACTCAAAAAGATCAGAAGATCTGGCAATGCTGCCACGAGCCAGCAGGCAGGGCAGCTGGACCATTACAGCTGGCGGTCCTTGTGGGACTGGCGCTCCCCAGCTGCTGAGCATGTGGGCATGTTGACATTGGCCATGTGGCTCCTGTGAACTGGGCTTGGCTGCAACAGAGTCAGCACTGTCCCTCCTCCTGGTGGTTCCCACAGCTCCCACAGCAATATGCCAGACCAGCTGGGGCTTGGGGCCTGCTTGGGAGCCACTCAGAAGCTTTACTCCGTAAGAAGGACATGAGCTCTCGTCCTCCTAGGACACAGCGGACAGCTGACCAACACTCTCGCCATGACAGCTGAGTGACAGTATGTGAAGGGAAGCTCAAGGTGCTAACTGCAGAGAAGAGACCATCTTGAAGTGGCTGTGATGGTGACGGGAGGGTCTGACCACACCAGACACAGGCTCTGGGGGTCTCCTGGGATGGGAAGCATGTTCACTGGGCATTTAGAATCCAGCATCTCTGCTAAGCATGCAGTGTCTGAATCCTGAACCAATGGCAGGATGGCCCCCAGGGGCTCCAGTCCAACATCAAGCTGCGTGCCCCTGGCGTCTGCTATCCCTGCCACAGGAGCTGTAGGAGCACCTGGAAGCACAGGACAGTCATGCTAACTCAGGAAACACTCCCCGGCTGCAGGGCAGGAGACACCAGTGCTGACAGGCAAAGTCAAGTCACTAGGACCCCCCACTTCCCTGTGAGCTGTGCCAGAGCCTTCCCATGAGGACATCTCAAAGACACTGCATAGGAGAGTATGAGCCATGTAGTGGCTTAGGTGGAAAATTACGGCAAAGGGGGAAAAAGGCTGTCAAAGAAATAGTACTTCTCAGTTCACTCACTGGAAACTCACCTTAAGTGCCAAAGAGATCAGAATGGCACTGCAGAATGGGAGGGCACTTCAGTTCATCCTCACCACAGTCTATGGGGACAGCTCTGAGTCTCAGACCACATGTGTTCCCTCTCTGCCCCCCGCACCGACAGCGAGTTACCTTGCCACACACTGGACATCCGGAAGGTTCCTTCTTGTAGCGGACCAGGTTCTCCCCACCGGCCTCCAAGTCCTCTCTCTTCACTCGCCGCACGCCTGAAATGCCCGACCCCGCCAGCAAAAGCATGAACACACACAGAGCACAAAGGACCATCGGACACTTATCCAGCTAGACAGGAGGACGGGGCTGCCCAGAGTGGAGGGACTGTGACCGTGAGTGACATCACCTGCACATGGTGAGGACTACATCAGGAACTGCTACTCCTCAAAGGGTTCCCAGGAGGGAGGGGACCAGAGGTGCATACAGGACTCAGCCACACAGGCTATGCCTCTGGGACACTTGGAAACAGAAGGACCCAGAGCTGCATGAGCTCTGGCTGAGGAAGGCGTGTCCTCTCAGCCTAAAGGCCAACGCATGACTTCCAGATGGCTGCAAGAGGGCCAATGGTTTTAATGAAAGATGCTAATACTCATCTCCTATAAATTAAATCAGTCCAATCAGGATCAGTGTGATAAGTTAACTGATAAAATCTTTATGATTTGGGGGCATACTGTTCAAAATTGGGAGTAAAACAGACTTTTGAAAGTTCATGTGAAACAGGTAGTCTTTGAACGAAAGTGAGAAGTGCCTCTCGGGAGCTGACCCCTGCTGTGGGCATAAATGTGGAACCAGACTTAGAAACACCGGGCAAGCTGAATTCGAGACAACAGACATTCCTGAAAGGCTGCAGCAGCACGAGGTTGTGGCAGACACAGGGCATCTGAGCAGGGTGTGGCACAAGCCCCAACGTGAAGAGGGAACACAGTGCAACAGTCACAACCTGAGTTCACTCCCACAGGAGACACCTGATTATGGGCACATGCCATGCAGCGTCACGGGGAACAGCTAACCCCAGCAGTCGGGCACCATCACTGTCTGCCCGGCATGGGTGAAGACACCGAGGCACAGTTCCTCAAAGGCTGCCTGGTCACAAGTGCAGACCCCAAGTATGGTGCCCAAGGGGTCACAAAGAAAAACACTGGGGATCCTCATGAAACAAGAAGAGTAAGGTAATATAAGTAAAATGCAAAAACGACATAGGATGCAATTCTGGTCTGTTACTTATTTACTTGTTTAGAGACAATGTCTGGCTTTGTAACCCTGCCTGGTGTGTAGCGGTGTCATCACAGCTCACTGTAACCTCTCCTGGGCTCACGGGACCCTCCAGCCTCAGCCTCCCAAGTAGCCAGACCACACCTGGGTACTTTTTCTTAATTTCTGTAGTGACAGAGTCTCACTATGTTGCCCAGGCTGGTCTCAAACTCCTAGTCTCAACTGATCCTCCCACTTCAGCCTCCTAAAGTGCTGGGAATACAGATGTGAGCCACCACACCTGGCCCAGTGCTATTTTTTATGCACATTTGTATGGATACAGTTATACTTCACATGTGATTTTGTTATCTCACATCTTTTTAACAAGCAGAAAGCTTCATTTGTAATTCTCTGTTAATGTGACCCCCCCCCAAATTTTTATAAAAAGGTGTTTTGGTCAATACTTTACTAAGGGCTGGTCAGGGAGACAAGAGCTGCTCTTATTTGTTCTTTAACTGTTTTTTTCCTGCTTTCAGCCAAATTGAAAGCATTTTTCATAGTATCTAGCATCTTTGAAAAACAATTTGAATGACTGCATATCATTCAATTCTAGGCATAGCCTGGCTTTCTTAACTCTTTCTCCCCCGAGGGACATTCAATAAGTCTCCAACCATGTCTACCTGCTCAGAGCACCACTGATACCCTGCCTAGCCTCCCTGACTGCCTGTATCCTTGCCTCCATGCCTGGCTTCCTGCCTCCCTCCCTGCCTGCATCCCTGCCTGCCTACATTCCTACATCCCTGCCTGCCTGCATCCCTGCATCCCTGCCTGCTTCCATGCCCTGGGCAGGTTCCCAGGAGAGTATTAGAGGATGGCCAGAGGATGCTTTCAGGCACCAGAGCAGGCATGGCAAAAACACTTTCTGAAGGTTGAGCCAACGTGCCTGTCTCCACTGTAGGAGCAGCCTACCTGCAGGGGCGATGCCCAGGGCCGGTGCGTGTACCCACAGCAGGTGCGCTCACCTTCCAGGTGCCTCCTCTGGTGGTCCAGCATGACATCCTTGCGGTAGAACATTTTGTTGCAGACTTCACAGGCAAACTTCTTGTCCCCATGCTTTTTCTTGTGCTTGGAGAGGTTGCTGTTGGTGGAGAAGAATCTGAAACACATCTCACATTGGAACGTCTTGTCATCTGTCCAGAGAGCAAACAGACACAGTGGTTTGAGGTGAATGCAGGCACAAGCAGGTGGCCTCAGCAGTGGCAGTAAAGCACGGGTCAAGGGCAGGAAGGTCACCAGGGGGACATACTTAGCAATAAACGTCACCTGCAAGTCAAATCCCGCCTACCCCAGAAGCACGAGATGCCGCAGGCAAGCTGCACCTCAGCGCCTTCTCACCTCAAAAAGCTCCGTGCTTACCCTTCATCCCCTCCAAGGTGAGCTTCTCCCGCCCACCTTGGTCCCTCACCCTCCAACCAGCACCCCATGTTGCTGTCACCCCCTCCGGGACTGTCCCTCCCCAGACTCCTTCCCCATGACACATCCACGCACCCAAATTTGGCACATCTTTCAACCTAAGCACCTGTCCCCAGGTCCTGCTTTAGTTAGGTACACGCTGGACACACACGCTCAGACCAGACACTTTACCACAGCACTGCACCATACCACAGGGGATAAAAACAAGACAGGTCCTGTGGAGGGACTCCGAGAAAAACCCAGACTACAAATTTTAAAGCTTTCCTTCCCCTACACAATTTCTTTGTTTAATGGTCTAAGGAAGATACAAATTCTCTGAACTTCAATACTGTAAAAAAAAAGAAAGTGTCACTGTCTACAAATAGCGTGTTCTGAAAGTGACCTCTGTTTCAGGGTTTAGCCTTTATTTTGAGCCTAAAACTTTTAACCTTTAAAATTAGAGCCTGACACTTTGTTGGTTCTACAGAACTGAAAGGCAGGCGGGCAGTGTGGCACGCGCCTGTAATCCTAGCACTCTGGGGGGCCGCGGTGGGAGTTTCAGAGCAGCCTCAGCAATACAGAGACTCCCTGTCTCTACAGAAGGAAACAGAAAATTAGCCGGGCTTGTGGCCCACTCCTGTAGTCCCAGCTACTCAGGAGGCTGAGGCAGGAGGATCACTTGAGCCCAGGAGTTCGAGGTTACAGTGAGCAATGATGATGCCACTGCACTCTAGCCTGAGCAACAGAGCCAGACCCTGTGTGTTTAAAAAAAAAATAAGCAAAGATAAACATCTGGCTGAGCAGAACTCCTAGCTGACACATAACAGCTGCTGCTCTGGCCCCTTCTATTACTGTTTCATCTGTGTCCAGAGAAAAAGTTAACTCCTGTCCCTCAGCCCTAAGTCTGTTCCCAAGCACTCCAGACACCAGCAACACCCTCAGGAAGCCCGCTATACTCTGGCAAAACCATGGGGAGCACCCAAGAGATCAAGAAATTAAACCAAGGTTCCGCTGTCCTGCTGATACCACACCAAACGGACGTAGCCAGGTGGCTGTCCCCCAAATTTCACATGAACACTGGGATGGGAGGGCTTAGAATGTAGGCAGTGCAGCACCCTGGAGGCTCATCCAGAAGCTTCCGGAGTCCCCCCCACCATGCCTTAAAGATGGATCCTTCAGAGCAGCTAAAGCTCAGGTGGAATGTGAGCCCTGCCTGCCACTTGAGCACCCCTCCTGGTGGGGCAGGAAGCAGGAGACACTATGAATGGTCCCAGACAGGAGTCCTTGAAACAGAACCAATCAACAACTGGGCAAAGGAGCCTGGCAGATGCTGGCAAGCAGGCCTCACACGGCCTGAGAACAGCTGCAGCCCTAGCTAGGGAGTCCCCTGACTCTGGCCCACGGTTCTCCAGAGGCACAGGGTGGCGGCACTTTAACAAGGACTAGCCAGAGGCAAGTATCAGATGCAGAGTGGGTCAAAGGCTGGCCACCTGGCCTGCTAGCCTCTAGGCCAACTGTTGCTAGACACCCTGACACCCTAGCTTTGCTCTGAGTCCTGGAGCCACAGAGGACAACTGTGATTCTTCCTTCTGCCCTGTCCGGAACTGCCCACCATGTGGGCTCTGCTAGGCATGGGTCCCCCAAAGGGCAGCCTGTCATTCCCACAGGGCACAGGGCAATGTGTCCTGGGGCTGTGTGAAAACCTGCAGCCAGGCTGTACAAGACGCCCTTGCCAGGCTGTAGTCTCCTTGCTGTGTGTACATATTTCTAACCTGGCCTGAGAGCTGGGGCCTGAGACATCCTCAGTCCCAGAGGCCCCTCTCTACTAAGGCCGACCCAGGCCTAACCAGTTTCCCGCCTCACACTCCAGGTCACTTCTAGAGACCAAGCACGACATAGGCTCAGAGCACAATATCTGTGGGAGGCAGCAAGGACCCCCTGCCCTGGATGGTGCAGCACAGACAGATGAAGGGGAGCTCCTGGTCGGGGCAGGGGAAGACAAGGGGAAGAACCACACTCCAAGGGTCCTGCCTTTGCCTGTGTCCTGCAGGGTCCTGCCCCTGCCCGTGTCCCGCAAGGTCCTGCCTCTGCCCGTGTCCCGCAGGGTCCTGCCTCTGCCCGTGTCCCACAGGGTCCTGGGTTGGACTGCATGCTGCTGTTCACATTCCCAGTGAGGACAGGCCCCTGCATCACACATCTCAAACTCAGGCCACTGACAGCCTCCATGACCACTGGGGAGATAAATACACCCCCTTCTGGTAGGGAAAGCTCCCACCCATGTGGCTACCTGCTCAGAGCACCATTTCAACTGCTTTGAAGCAGAAGGAGAAGGAAGCACATTGAAAGGGAGGTTTACATATCAAACCAGCTTTAATTCCACCCAGAGCCCCACGGCCCCATCACACACAGGATGACCAGGGACCAGGCCCGCATCACCTCACCTGTCCTGCAGTTGTGAAACTCCAGGGCACTCTCGATTCGAAAGGTCTTTTCACAGGTCCCACAGCGGTGTCTGTACTCACCGTCGACCTGGTTGGAGGGATGTGCTGTTAGTAACAGGTAGAGCCCATAGAGACAGAGCCTGTGTGCTGCCTGAGACCCCATGGCTCTGTCGCCAGCCTTTCCTCTCTCCTTATTTGGGACACAAAAGAGCCTGTGCTCTTGCCACCCCTGCGCTGGGCCTTCCCCGCTGCACAGGACTTGGAGCAGCCAGGTGGCTGCACGCACCTCGGTCCTGCTGTGCTTGTAGGACACGTGCTGCTTGAGGCTCTCCTTGCGGCTGAACAGCTTCGCACACTCCTCACACTTAAACAGCTTGTCGCCTGTGGGACCGACCAAGGGGAGGTTGATTCGGGGCTTCGACACCTACTAAACACAGCGTGCCGACCTCTGGAACCTGGCTTCCTGGAGACAGCTGTGGAGCCCCTCACTCCTGTTGTGCTGGGTGGGAGCTGGGGAAGAGGACCCCCTTCCACTCCATGTCAGGCAATATGAAGGGTGGGGGCACATGTCCCCTCTCAGGCACACTCACGGTGTGAGCTCACGTGCCCCCTCCTGCCCTCAGCCTCCCAGGTGACCCCGGCTCACACACAGTGTGACAGCACGGCCCCCTCCTGCCTGCGCCATGCACCCTGGGAGCACCCACACCCTATTCCCCAACCCACCCTCACTCACTGTGGGAACACACGCCCCATTCCCCGCCCCCCCACGCATCGTGGGAGTACACACACCCCTGCCCTGCCCCCCACGCATCGTGGGAGTACACACACCCCTGCCCTGCCCCCCATGCACCGTGGGAGCCCACACGCCCCTGCCCTGCCCCCCATGCACCGTGGGAGCCCACGCGCCCCTGCCCCGCCCCCCACACACCATGGGAGCGCACGTGCCGGCTCAGGTTGCTGCTGTTCTGGAAGACCTTGCTGCAGATGCTGCACTGGTAAACCCGCTTGTGCTCCCCCAGCTGCTTGATGAGCTTCCGCCGGATGCTGTGTCTGCTGGACAGGATCAGGCTCCTTTTGAGGGTGATGGTGTTATTCTGGTGATGGGCGAACCTGAGATGAGTGAATTGGTAAAAGACAGGTGGGAAACTAGCTCACTGGGGAAGACCGTCCAGGCTACAATCCTTTGCAAACAGCCTCCTTCCAAAACTTCCTAGCTGAACCCAGACCTCTGGGCAGGAAAGTCGGACTGTGCAACCCCAGCTTCTGGGCATCTAGAGGGAAGAGACACCTGGAAGATGTAACAGCACCAGCCTTGTTCTATGACAGCCGCACAGCTCACTGGTTTCAACTCTGGCCACCAGTAAGCACAGAGCTAAACTCAGCCAGAACACCACAGCTGTGCTCCACTCTCTCACCGGGCTGGATGCTCTTCTGTTTTATGTTTTATCTAAACCTGATTTTTTACAAAGTTCTTTGCACTATTAGATGCATTTTTGACAGCAAGCCCCCTGAAATCCTCTGAGCAGTGACAGAGTGTTAATAAACAGATAGGTAATGCCATTCCTGACAGTACTTCAGTCTTAGTTTCTGGTATTTCCAGGTTTCTGGGCACGTTCTGACAACTCTCAGGCACACCAAAACAGGGGAGATCACCAATGTATTCAGCATCAGGGTAAACATTTATGCAAGAATAATAATTGAAACACACATATTTTTCTTGTTCACAAAAAGAGACGGAAAGAGAAACACAGGGTGAGGTATCCAATTTAGGGAAATTCAAATACAAGATCAGCAGCATTACCCAGAACAGTCAAAAGGTGGGAGTGACCCAAGTGTCATCAGTGACACGCATGAACCCTGAGGACGTGACACCTCGGAAGGGCGGGTCCTGTGTGGTCCTCTCCTACAGGTGGGATTCAGCAGAGTGGGGGTGCCAGGGCCCAGAGGGGACAGAGCTTTGGTCTGGGGAAAGGAGAAAGTTCTGGAGATGGATGGTGTGCTGATGGCTGCACGACAGTGTGAATGCACTTAATGCCTCGAGATACATGGTTAATATGTTTTCTAAAAACTGCTCACTGTGGACGAACTATTATACTCATGGGCTCCAGAATATTCCTGCTGCTTCCTCTCTTCGGGCTGTCCTGCTGGGGAGGCCCTTCCCTCCGGGATGCCTTAGCAGCCACCCACACTGTCTGCCCACGAGGTGCTGGGGTGGGACTTACTTGGGCACAGGGTTGGCATCCCCAGTGCCAGTGGCCAGTTTCCCCAGAACCAGCTCCATTATCCGCTCGTCTGGTGCTGCACTCACAGGCTCGTCTGGGGGGACCTCGGTGATGATCTCTGCCACTTGCTCTGTGTAAGGGGGATGTGACAAGCCAAGTCACCAGCAGAGAAGGCAACACACAGCCAAACCCCAGAGACACACTGCTGTGCAACCACAGCCAGACCACAGTGACAGACCAGACTGTTAATGTTTACAAAGGAAAAAAAACCTGGCAACATTTTGGGATCTAAATATTTACTAGTATCTACAGAGAAGGGAAATACTTTTCTCATCCCAAACTAAAGTTATAATTTGTGATTCTTCTGTAAAACCACATCATAACACCACTTCAATCCTTTGTACCAGTCAGAAATATTTTACACATATAACAGAATCTTCTAGCATATTAAAACTTAGTTTGACAGAGATTTAGAATACTAATTTTTATAATTTGGTAAGGTATCTTAAGTATAGCACTTTTAGATAACTATTTTGTATAAGAGTCAAATGTCAAATAATCACAATGGAGACCCAGGCCAGAAACCTGAGACCAGTGAAACGCTGGGAGATTGCACACGGAAATTCAGCCACTGGTTTCCACCACTCCACCACTCACTGTCTTCCAAAAGCCAGTGACAATCAGCAAAGTAACCACACCACAAACTCCCGCCCTCCCTTCTTCTCTGCCTGTTAGGAGAGGCGGGGAAGCTGCCCAGGGGAGTTCAGAGCCTCCTCCTCATCAGTTCCCAACAGCACACAGACTGGGATCTGGCTGAAGATCCACAGTCAAAGAAGAAGATTAGACCACTAGGTGAAGCTGCTCTTCTGAAATCTCTGTTAATTCTCAGAAAGAATATGATTTCTTCTCACTCTCAACAGAGAAATTCTGGGATATTGCAGACAGCAAAAGGAAGAGCTGCCAAGTGCCAGTCGGGAAGGTGAGAAGGAGCTGAGCCTCACATCTGCTGGCAGGCATTCCCACAGTGCCAGGGGGCATGGATGGGGCCTCGTGAGGACAGCAGGGACTCCACACCCTAGGAAGTGGGTCCAACATCCCTTCAAACTCAACTGAAGACACTGTACAATTGAGGAACAAACTGCAGCCAGGGCCTAGGAACAAGTACCCACCCATGGGTAAGAGGTGAGTAAGCCTGGGAGCTCCTGCACGCAGACGATCCCTGCTTGGGGACAGAGGAGGAGCCACCAGTAACCTGACATGGACCAGCTACACGCCACCATGTGCTGTACACAAAGGGCCAACACACACAGTTCTGTTCCCGAGAAATAGCAGAAGACACTCAGGACGCTGACGGGGGAGATGGCAACGTCCTCTACACCGACGTGCAGGTGTGTGCATCTGTCTGTGTGCGGTGTGCAAGATGGCACATGCCATCTGTACTATAACAGAGCCCACTAAGAGCCTCCC